ACATCTCCTCAGTCACCCACCACATGTTCCACTCCCTTCCGTGTCCTTTTGTAAAAACCACCTCACAGAGAACTTATCTAGGTCCATTTGCCCCCCCCCATCAGCCAGTGTTCCCCTGGGGCCTCCATCAAACCTTCTATTCCTTCCTGAAAAGGTCAACAGTCATGGACACCTGCTTCCCTGACCACTGGAATCATGAGTTTCATTGATTCATCAATTCTTCTCCAGCCCTTGGAGAATTCACAGTCTCTCCCAGACATCACTAGGGTCGTGTTTCAGGCACTGGGGCTTTGCGTCATTCAGGATCCATCCCTTTCCCCCTGAACGCTGACAGCTCAGTCCCACTGCACTCCCTGTGCATCTGATGCAGTTTCCGGGTCACAGCTGTGTCAGCTGAAAGTCCTCGGGTTACAAAAAAACAGAAACGGAGTCTGGCAAAGGAAGCGCAGAAGAGGGTCCATTGGAAGGGGCCTGGGGAGGTCAGAGACCGGGAGGAAGCAGGAGACCTTACCTGTTCTGGGAGCACAGGACGCAGGCAGATCTGTCGCCAGGAGTTTCTGTTCGGCCCCCTGAGGCCCTGCCAGCACTGGGCTTAGGTCCATCCTCGGCAATTCCCAGGAGGCAGAATGGCCTGGTCGGGTGACTGTATTCTTGGACCAATTTTTCAGGCAAAGCAGTGAGGGAAAAAATGAGTAATAGGGACGCAAACGTTGGGGGAAAGTTTCAGTTGAAGAGGCACCAGATTTGGGGCTGCCTGTGTACACACGTGCGCTGAGTAGACACACAAGAAGACTCTCCTTACTGGTCCTGGTTCCAACCATCGCTTATGCAACGGTGAGTCCAAGAGGCAATTCCACATTGGAAAGAAAATACAGATAATCTCCACCCACTGCATCCTGAAGCTCTGTGCTGGAGCGGAGGGCCTCAGCGCGGTGCCTGAACTCTTCCTGCTCCACTGGGCTGCTTTCTCAGTCTTGACAGCCCTATGTCTCTATCTGCACATGTATCTAGGAACCTCTGAGGTACAGGTGGGACCACGACCACCACTCACCATGGCTTCCATGGATACTAGCCTTTCCCTGCTGATTCCACTCAGTGTTCCTCTGAGCGATGGGAGCATTCAGTCCTATGGGGCTGGGCTGGGCCCTCACCATGTTAGGCACTGTCACCTGGGTTCCCACAGTCGGTCCTCAAAGCACCTCTGCGACTTGAGTGCTGTCACCCCATGAGAACACGAGGAGGCAGCCCTAGGGCCAGGAAAATGGCCAAGGCCACCAGCCTGGGAAGGGCCGTCCTTGGGTGGGGTCTCTAGTGCCCTCTGCTCTGGGGGAGGAGGCCGTCCTCGAGCCTCAAGCAGCTCCCGTGGGAGTCAGGCGCCCCTCTGCTGCAGGACGGCGGGCCAGGTCCTGGCACATGTGTCCCCTGTGCCCCTCTGTGTCTGTGCTCAGGGACGCCCATTCCAGCCTGGGCTCTGAGCACCCAGGGATGGAGTGTGAGTCTGTGGAGTTTGTACAAATGGACCCTTGCCAGACATCAGCTACTACCATTCTCCCGCCAAACAGAAGCCCCTGAGTAGCTGGTAGACAGCCCCTGAGTCTCCCCTCCCCAGCCACCAGCTTCCTTATGTGGAAAATCTGATCAGATTCCTGGCCTGGGATCTGGGCTTATTTAAGAACAAACTGTAGTGTGTGGTCCTCGTGGACTCATACCCATCACTCTTCTGTCCCTCCCTCAGGTGCTGGGGCGGGTGGCCACGGGGCCCCAGAGACATTTCCTGGGATGAAGCGGCCCTGAGGGAAGGTCAGGCTCTCTGTGGGCTCCAGGCTCCCTCAGGCCCTGCTCCGGGCACCAGAGCAGAAAAGTGAGACCACAGCCCAGCTGTACAACTTACAAGCTGCGGGGCCTTTACTTCGCACTTTGGTTATCAGGGAGCAGGGGCTGAATGTCCTTACAGTTACATAGGAAACTGTATGTACGTGTGAGGACAGCACCCGGCTCACCGTCAGCCCTCCATCCCCAGTGGCTCTTTGCTGGGAACCAAACAGGAAACGGCTTTATTTCTGTTTTAGACTTTTCTGAGTTGCCAGGACACTGGCCTCTTGTAAGCATCCTCCATTTGCAGAGAAAAAGGTTTGTTGCCCAGTGGAAATGAGCTGGGGAAAAAAAACCACTGTGCCCTCAGCCCTTCCCCCAACCCTCTGCAGCCATCGAAATGGCGGTGACCACCAAGGATGGGGCGCCTCGGGTGGGTCAGTGGGACCCAAGGCACCGGTGCGTGTCCCTGCCAGCAGGGCCAGGTCTAGAGGGACCTGATCAAGAAGTGGGGGGCATGGACACACTAGCTGAGGGTTAGGGTTAGGCCCTGCTCCCAGGTACCATGGGAGCAGAGCCGGGGACTCTACAGGGGAAGGTCCTGGAGGACTTCTCAGAGGAAGTGATGCCAGATTTGGGCTTTGGAGCAGGAGCCTGATTTTTCCAGGCGTAGGAGCAGGTGTTCTGGCAGAAAAACCTGAGTGAGCAAACGCTTAGAACCCGCATGAGAGTGGTAATCAGCAGCAGAATTATTACAGGAGCACAGGGAGCTTCTGGTATGTTTGGGGACTGTGCCGAGTCCTCGTGGCAAGAAGGTGCATAAAGCAGGTGGGCTGGGGAGTGTGGTGGGTGGAGAGGGCAGAGGGGCCTGGGAGGAAGCCCGTGGGGTCAAGGAGTGATTTGCCCTGGGCTTCCCTGTCTGTTGGTGGCAGGTGTTCCTTTACAGAGACTGAGGCAGGATGGACTGAAGCTAGAAGGATGTGGAATGTCAGGTCTGGTGTGGTTTTTCTAAGAAGTCAGCAGGGAGGGAGGGAGTAGCGGAGGGTGGGGCCTGGTCTGCCGAGTCTGTCCTGTAAGCAAATCAGGATCCAGCGCTTTCACTTTCCCTTTTGAATTTGGGGGTACATCTGGGCCCAGAGGAGGCTGGTTATTCCTCAGACGCACAGCTGGTGACTGGATCCGCGCAGTTGAGAACATCTGGGTCTGGTTCACACTCAGCCAGAGGGAGACTCCTGGGTAAGCAGACCCCCATCTCCCCATCCTCACCATGTCTCTCTGAGAAGAGGGTGCAGGTCACAACTTAATTGTGACTGTTTTGGAGAAGAAGGGAATGTGAAGCTCAGGGAG